TATGTATTCTTATCATATACTTTTTAAATGCCCTTTGTTTTTTCTTCTGACAGTTACCACACCAAGCACCTCAGACTATTATGCCACAGACTGTTGTAATCGCTGTTATGGGCATGATGTTTTTATGGCCTTCTGAAATGAAAGCTAGCTATCTTATTTGCTTAGTTGAAACAAAACAAAAATAATTAGCTACTTATGGAAGCAATTTGTTCCCTAACTCTAGAACCTTTTTGTTTTTTATATTGTCTTTTGTTTTTTATATTGTATCTGAGCTGGCATAACAAAGTCACCTTGTTAATTTTTTTGCTTGCAAGTTCATACAATTTAGCACTTGTTCAAGTAAAAAATGCTAGGAAATTTGTTTCTGTTAATTATTTTCAAGGCTGTGATATTTACACTCTGCTCTTTAAAAGTTACATTTTAGGTGCTATAATTACACTGTAAGAAGTCCAGTAGGATTGAATATTTGGCACTGCTAGATAACGACTTCACACAATCCAGGAAAGATTTTTGTGCTGAAGCGTGCATGAACAGAAAGTCTCAAAAAAGACAAAGAAATTAATGTGTGAAAAGGAGGTGTTTGCAATGGACCAAGCAGATCACTTTAAGTAGTGATTTTTGCATTGAAAGAAATACCCGTGTTCTGTCGACCTAGACTAGAACCCACATTTGAAGGCGGGTCCAAGGCGTGCCAGCACCAGTCTCCTCCCTCCATGTTCTTCTTTTCTCTCCAGCTCTGGGCCCCCTCCTTTTCTCGCCGGAAGGCTGCTGGCTCCGGACAAGCAGCAGCGAGAAATTGGTTTCCAATGCTTTTTGTACTTCTGGCTGCCTGCTTTGACTGCTGAAAGGGCTGGCGCCTTCTACGATCTGCATAGCCTCAGGAAAACGAAACAGACCTTCCAGATCGCTCCCTCTTGTAGGAACCTCTTGGGCATAGGTAAGAAATGCCATTCCTCTGTATTTGAAAAACTGGGCATGGCAGTTAGAGGTAATTAAGCTAGAAAAGTGATGGAGAGAAACAAATCCTCTGACATCACAATGAATGACAATAGGAACGTGAGTAACAGGCAAAATCAGAATAGAAACTTTTTCTCTCTGTTATCAAATATTGAAGAGTATCACAACTAAAGCAGAGGTTCTCAAACTTTTCTGTCTCAGGACACTTTTACACTCTTAAAAATTATCAAGGATCGTCAAGAGTTTTTGTTTATCTAGGTTATTTACTGTATTACGGTAATTTACTGTATTAGAAATTTAAAAATAGCTATTTATTAATTCCTACCACTCGTCTGTCACTTTGCCGTACTGTGGTGGTTGCGTGTTGCTGTGAGGCTGGAGGATATACTACCCATATTTCAAATACCAGCAGGATCACCCATGGTGGACAGGTTTCAGTGGAGCTTCCAAACCAAGATGGGAAGAAGGGCACAGCCATCCACTTCTGAAAAAATTGAATTATAATTCATTTAAAATAACAACAATAAACATCACATGTTAACATAAATAAAATTTTTAATTTTAAAGTAATTGTTTTAAAAAAAAAATCTAGTTTGAAGAATGACATTTTTCATTACAAATCTCCTTAATGTTTGGCTTAATAGAAGACAGCTGGAGTCTTTACCGGCTTCTGCATTTGGTCTGTTGCAGAATTATGTATAATGTTGTTGTTATGTGCCGTCGAGTCAGACCTGACTCCTTGGATTTCTGAGGCAGTATCACTAAGGAAGTAGATTGCCCAACCTTCCTTCTGAGGAGTAGCTTGGTGGGTTTGAACCCCAGTCTTCTGGTTAGCAGTCAAGTGCCTTAGGCACTATGTAGCCTCTGGTAAACTCCTGAGACAATGAGAGTGAACAAATCAAGAACACCTCAGAATTTTATTATGACAATAGTTTTGACCCCATGAACCCCCAGAAAATCTCTGCTTTAGAATGACTAAATAAGGATCTCTTAAAGGGAGTCTCAACTTTAAAACAAGTATTTTAAAAACAAACAAAATGCTTGCCCAAGTTTAATAATCTTGATGGAATCTGCATCTCCACCCTTAGGTTGGGCTGCAATTGGGCAATATTATAGCTTTCTCCAGAAGGATTTTTTTTTTTATTAGAAAAGAGTCAAATAATCATCTCTATATTGAAGTATGAGTAACAAAAATTAGGACACCCTTTTTATTAGTTTGCATTGATTTGGCTCTGACTCATGGTAACCTTATGTATAACAGAACAAAATATTGCCTGGTTCTGTGCCATCTTCATGATTGTTGTTACGTTTGAATCCATTGTTATAGCTTTTGAATATAAAAATTCTACTAGTCCTTTTACATATTTTTTGCCTAGATACAACTATTTTAAGTTCTATTAAATCTTCTCTCGAGCTATCTTTTTTATCTGACTTGTTTATAATAGTCCTACCTCATGAATTTGTTATAGTACCTGTTTCTACTATCATCAGTACTCTAATTGCCAGCTCAGTATCCTGAAGCATATTCCTATTGCCTATGAGATTAAATTCAAAGTTTTCTACATGACTTTAAAAGTTCCCCATAATCTAAGCCCATTTTACCTTATATTCACTACCTCCCAGTGGATCTTTTCCACTGCAGTAAGAAAATCACTCAATTCAGTCCATCCCATACTGTAACATTGTTCTGATTGTCAGATAAATGCTCTTCCATGCCCTTGTGTATCTGCCAAATCTAATCTGTGCTTTTCTCCATCTATTCAAATCTTAAACTTCCTTTGAAGTTAAATTCAATTGTCTTTCCTACCTAAGACCATTCCAACTATATCAGTTCCATTTTGTCTTGTTTTGTTCTGAGTTTCTTTTTATTTATTTTGCTTCTCCAAAGTATTATAACACTTGAGTCTGTATTTAACAGTTGATTAAATATGCCTTTTTTTTATTACTATTTATTTATTTTTTTAAGTCTCTTTTTCTCCTTACCCCATCTTCTACTCACACATTCATAAGATGGCAAGGTTTTCAAGGATAAAATGATTTATAGACCTGAAAAATTACATTTTGATCTTGATGCTGTCAAACCAAACTCCAAACAGAAATGTTTGTTTATTTGCCTCTAATAAATGGTTCTTTCTTTGCAATTTAACTAGAATCTAGAATCACAGAATAATTAAATTAAAAAAGACCATGAAGACTGATTCATCCACTTCCTTGTACCAGTGAGGGAACTGAAGCCCTCAGAATTAAATAATTTGCCTGGACATGATTGCAGCGAATGTGACCTAATCTCAATAATGATATTCTGTTATCCACTAGTCTCAGTCTAGTTTCTAAAAGATAGTATAACTGAAACATGTCATTTTTGTTCTTTCAAAGATCCAATTGGTGCCGCATAATCCTGGGTGCTGCATAATCAGTCAATAATCTGAGAATCTTAGATAAAATATTCAAAGCATTTTTATCCACATGGAACCATAAATCTCACAGATTAAAGAAAGCAAACAAACATGCATGAGAAAGGAAAAGAGAAAAATTAGGAGGAAGAGGGAAGCTGGAAAGAACACAACACTTTGTAATCATAGCTATGTTGAGGACCTAACAAAAAAGATTGGTGGAAAAAGAAAACAAATGATGGATCCAAAATAAACATTCATATCCAATAAAAAAGAAACTATTGTGGGGAAAAACATTAGAGGAATTACTCTATTAAAAATTTTTTTTTTTCAGGCCCTCATTTTCTTCTTTTTTATTGGCTTTCAGATGGAGTGAAAGTTTTAAGGCTGTATTCTACTAGTCCTTTTACACACTGTTGTCATGGTAACAGGTTTTATCATCGTGTTTATTCACTTAGCAAACACTTACTGAGTTCCTGCTGTATAATAAGCTCTCTCCAAGTCTTGAGAATTCAAATCCTTGTCTTAAACTCAGAGTGAAGCTGGGCAGACTTATGTGTAATCAAAGTAATCTTAATTAAGTGTGTTGTTGTTGTTATGTGCTTGTGTTATATGTTATGAGTCTGACCCGACTCATAGTGACCCCTCCTTGGGTTGCTGAAGCGGTATCACTACGGAAGTAGATTGCTCAACCTTCCTTCTGAGGAGTGGCTGTTGGGTTTGAACCTCCAGCCTTCTAGTTAGCAGTCAAATGCCTTAGGCACTACACCACCAGAGCTCCCTATGCTGAAAAACACCCCCAAACAAATAACTTTGGAATAAAAGTTAAAGACAAGAAAATGATAGAAAGAAGGCCCACGTACCACTAAGACTTTGTTTTTGGTTTGGCTAAGAGAGAAAGAGGACCATCAGATGCCAGAGCCCTTTTGCCTCCTCCCATCTTAGCCTAACCCCTAGGCAGCAACACCATTTTTATCATCATCTTACCTTTAGCACTTTGACAATGAAGTCACAAAACTTCAGCCTCTCACCCATGGGAGCTTATTTGTGGTAATACAGGGATGGAATCAATGCCTAGTTAAAGGACAGGATTTAGGTGTGTTTCTAGAATCCTCAGCTACATCTATATTTATATTGATAATATATTTCTATCCCACACACACAAAGAATACTCAAACGATAGCTCAGTTCAACACAAACAAAAAAACAAACTCAGCTGTCGAGTCGATTTCGACTCATAGCAACCCCTCCTTGGGTTTCCAAGGCAGTATCACTATGGAAGTAGATTGCCCCATCTTCCTTCCGAGGAGTGGCTGGTGGATTTGAACCGCCAGTCTTCTGGTTAGCAGTCAAATGCCTTAGGCACTACACCACCAGAGTTCCCTGTTTAGTTCAATAGTGGGCCACCCTTTATAACATTGTTTCAATGAGAAAATGCTTTCCATACCCAAATATTGGATGATTTGCAAGGGAAAGTTTGGAATAACATGGTGTTCATAAGGTGAAGATTCCTAGCGTTTATTAAATGCCCCGAGTGTTCATCAGCACACTGACGATACACTGATTTCTGAATTTGGAGGTAGTACAAAATGACAGTGGAACAATTGTTACCTCTTAACAGATGACTCTCTGCTTTCTTTAGGAATAAAGATGGCTGCTGTACCAGTAGACGACAATTGCATCAACTTTGTAGAAATGAAATTTATTGACAATACACTTTACTTTATACGTAAGTCTAAAGCAATAGGCCATATTAGAGAAATGAATTCAATTAGAAAAAAACTGTTGTAGGTAAACTAGTAAGTGACTCCTTTCTGTCACCAACTTCCATTGATTCCATTAATATTAATTAATGGCATTCTTCCCTGGGGGAAGGGGGAATATATATATATATATATATATCATCTAGAATATAACATGTCTGAGGTCCCAGTACCTTGTTCCAGCACACATCCTGGCCCTTCAACTAATGGTAGCCCACTCCCAAGGTAGTAGCAGGTGCAAGTAATGAAAATTCTATATAACTGGTTACATTCAGAGAATACTATTTCCCAAAGCAAAGTGGCAGATTATGTAAGACATATATAAAATCTAGAGTTCTGTGAGTGGGGTATACCATCTTATGTAAAGATATTTGACGAATTAAAATGGATTCTTATGCTCTTCCATGGGCAGTTCTTCCATTGAAAGTCTGGCTTCATTCGAGTGCATCATAGAAATTCCTTAGGTGACTTTCCATCGAAGCAATAAATGTACAAATATAATCCATCATTTTAAAATTTCCTTTTAGCTGCAAACTTAAATTTATAAACTGGATTTAAAGTTTTATATCTAACTTTCCTTAGAATAATGAGCTTCATTTTATGGGATCTTTTGACTGATTATATATTTAGATGGAGGCCAATAAAGGCCATCACAGTTAAGATAGCAGTTAAATAAAAACAAAATAAAAATAAAGAGAGGAATGAGAAGAGATTCTGAGATGAAATACAGAATTTAATATATTTTGTTTCTTTTTTTTCCCCTTCAGCTGAAAATGATGGTAAAGTATAAATTTATTTCTTTTCTTTGCAAATTAAGTAGCTGTTTGACCAAGATTCCACAGACATATTCACCATTCTCAGATGGAAGAAACTGTCCTCATGGTACATGTCTATTGGGAAGCTAATTTTCCCTCAAGGGAATGTGGACTCAACAACTTTGGAATGAAGGAAACCATAAATGATAAAAAAGAACCTCTCACAAAATATGCTTGTCTACATTGTTAGGAAATCCTGAAGCTCTTCAAAGCTACAAAATAAATCTTAGCTGTTACGTAGGCCCTAAACTAAGGAGGGAGCCATAAATTCTCTGGAGGGCATAGGAAAAGGGAACTGAAGCATTAAAATTATTATCCAAACTCAAGAACATCTTTCTTCATCAATCTTCCTCTCTCAGATATGCTTTGGAAAGAAGCCTGGGAGGTTCCTAGCAGGGCAGAGAATTCTGGAAGTGGAGTAGATGAGGAGGGGTGGGGCAAAGAGAATTCTGAGGTTTGAGTCATTAAATCTTCTTATTGAAGGCCTCTAGCAGCAATACTTCTGGCATTCAGGGAGGATCATACCTATAATTAGCCTGTGAACCTCTAGCAAATCCTTAGATTGTTACTGGTCATTAGGTTCTAATACTTTTTTTTTCCTTAAAAGTAGCAGTTTCTCCATTCTTAATGTGATCCTTTTTAGACTGGAAATTCAAACCAACAATTTTTTTAAAATACATTTTATTGAAATATAATTTCTGTAACAGTGAAGTACGCAAAACTAGTTGGATGCGACTGGACGGCACATAACAACAACAAAGTGACATGGGTCAATGCTTTTTTTTTTTTTTTTTGCAGTGCTCCCTCCCCTCCCCTTCCACCCCTAGTAATCAACAAAAAAAGTTTCCTTCCATATATAAACCTTTCTTTGACTTTTTACAATAATGAACTAATACTATATTTGTCCTCCTGTGATTATTTCACTCAGCATGTCCTCCAAGTTCATCCATATTATGCAGTGTTTTGCAGATTGTACATTATTCTTTATGTTTCATAGTATTCCATTGTGTGTATGTACTGTAGTTTGGTTATCCACTCTTCTGTTGATGGGCACCTAGGATGCTTCCATCTTTTTGCTATTGTAAATAGTGCTGCAGTGAACATAGGTGTGCATATATCTGTTCACGTCCTGGGTTTCACTTCTTTAGGATATATACCTAGTAATGGGATTGCTGGGTCAAATGGTATTTTTAATTCCAGCTTTTTAAGGAATTGCCATACTGTTTTCCATAGAGGTTGTATCATTTCTCAATCCCACCAGCACTGTATGAGAGTCCCAGTCTCTCCGTACCCTCGCCAGCATTTGTTATGTTCTGTCTTGTTGAACTTTGCCATTAGTGCTGGGGTGAGATGGTATCTCGTTGTTTTCATCTGAATGTCTTTATGCCTAATGAGTGTGAGCATTCTTCATGTATTTCTGAATATCTTCTTTGGTGAAGTGTCTATTCATGTCTTCTGCCCATTTTTGAATTGGATTGTTAATCTTTTTACTGTTGAGGTGTTGGAGTTTTCTATAAATTTTAGAGATAAGTCCCTTGTCACACATGTAATTATTGACCAAATATGAATTTGTTGCTGTCATTTTGTTATGTGCTTTTTTTGTGATGTTCCTGATTTCTTTGTTCCATGTAATTTTTGGTGCTGAGCTTATTTTATTTATGAATCATGCTATCATTTCCTTCATTGTTATTGTTTTAGTGTTTGCTAAATATTTGTCCTGGTCCTCTTTTTTATTTTGATGGGAAGGTTTATCATTTTTCTTTGAGGTTACCCTGTGATTTATAATTTTCTTCCCAAATTTAGAACAGTCCATTCTATCTTGCAGTTGTCTTGACTTCTCTATCATTTAGTTCTGTAATTACACAATTTTTTCCTGCTTTTTGGTTTGTAGTTGTCCTCATTTGTCAATTGATGTCTCTGGTTCCCTGTTCACAATCTTGTACGCTTATTTACTTCGGATACTTCCATAACTGGGTTGGTTTCTAGGTTATGTCATCATGTGTCAATTGGTTTTTTGCTATTGTTGGTTCTCTGTCCAAACGGCTCCCTTTAGCATTTCTTGTAAGGTTGGTCTGGTTTTAACAAATTCCCTTAATTTCTTGCTGGAAATGTCCTAATTTCACCATCATATTTGAGGGACAATTTTGCCAGGTATGTAATTCTTGGTTGGAAATTTTCTCTTTCCGGGTTTTATATATACCATCCCATTGTCTTCTCACCTGCATGGTTTCTGCCAAGAAATCCGAGCTTAGTCTTATCAGTTGCCCCTTGTAGGTAACTTCATTTTTCCCATGCTGCTTTCAGGATTCTTTCTTTGTCTATGGTTTTGGTGAGTTTGATGATGATATGTCTTGGTGATTTTCTTTTGGGGTCTATCCTGTTTGGGGTTCGTTTGACTTCTTGAATGGATATATTCTCACCTTTCATCATACCAGGGAAATCCTCTTCCAACAAATGTTTGACAATTTTCTCTGTTATTTTATTTGTCTCTTCTTGTTCTGGAATTCTGATTACACATAGGTTATTCCTTTTGAAGGTATCCCACATGAACCTTAGAGTTTTTTCATTTTGCTTCGATCTTTTTTCTGATTGATCCCTTTTCAAAGAAGTATTGAGGTATTTGTCTTCAGTCTCACTAATTCTGTCTTCCACTGATTCAATTCTACTCCTTTGTGCATTCAATGTGTTATCTGTTTCTGAAAATTTAGTATTAATTTTCTGGATTTCTGTCTGTGGATTTTGTATCATTTCTAATTTTTCATTTACATTGTTCTGGTTACCTAGGGCTGCTTTGACAGGAATATACCACAAGTGGGATGGCCTTAACAAACAGGAGTTTATTCTTACAATTTGGAGGCTTTAAGTCCAAGTTCAAAGTGCCAGGGTCTATGGGCTGGATGAAAGCCCCTTGACCTTAGGCTTCAGCTCTGCCTCCTGCTCCTGGCCCATTGAAGCTGGAGGCTTTTCTGCTGCTGTCTGCTGAGGCTGACAAGTCCAAGGTTGACAAATAATAAGGCACAGTCCTGATATTGCCAAACCATACGCAGGCCATTAATTCAAGTCCATTGAAAGTCCCAGGATCAGCAGAGCATGGCAGACTACTAAACAAAATTCTGCTACATGCAGGTTTCAAGTGTGCCATAAGCTAGAAACCATTCCCCAAGGCTTCTCCTTATATACAGGAAGCAGACCACATCCCTAAGGCAGTTACTCAGTTGCTCACAGTAGATTCCACCATGGAGTTGATTACCAGTATCATCATGGGGCATACTACATCCAGCTGCGCAGCCACTCCATCAGGCCCAGCCAAGTTGACCCACAAACAACTACCACAATTCCACCCCTTGTCAACTTGGCACCTGTACACATCTTCAATGGGTGGCATCCATACAGATCTCCTTCACTGGGTGGCTCTAATCTCATAGTTCCTAAGTGGCAACCTCACCCCCTTTGCCTGGTGGGCCCTATTCCTCTACCTCTTGGGTATGGTAGCCCTGCCCTCTGTCCCTTGGGCAGTGGCTATGGCTCCATCTCACCAGCCCACATGAACGAGCAGCCCCACACTCCAGAACCAAGTTGGTGAAGGTCTAACTCTTTGAAACCCAGGATGTTATGGTGGTTCCACCCCCAGAGGCCATAGTCCTACCCTTTGAAGCTGAGGCAGCTCTGCTTCTCGTTTCCTTGTTCTCTCCACTTCTGCCAATTAATGCCAAAGGCAACCCACTCTGCTAGAAATCTTCCTGCCCCAAAAGCACTCAGCTTTCTTGCTCCATGGCTGGCCAAACTGCTACTCCATTTCATGCTGGTCTCTTCTACCAATTAACGCCCAAAGGCTATCCACTCCACCAGAAAGCTGCCTGCACAATGGCATCCAGCCTTCTCCTCTGTGGGCTGGTAAGACTGTAGCTGTTTCATGCTGGTTCTCTCGGCTCTGCTTCTGTCATCTCTCATGCCAGTCTCTCAACTCTGCTCCTGCTATCTCTCATACCATATGCCAGGGTCTCTCTGCCAGGGTCTCTGGTCAAGGACACACTCTACTCCTGTTTCCACATTTTAGGTAGCTGTCAGAGAAGCACCCCACTCTCTTAGTACCGTATGTGTTAGGTTGGGTTCTCTAGAGAAGCAAAACCAGTAAAGCTTAGAGAGAGAGAAAAAAAATTATCTTAGGAAGATGGCTCACACACTTAAAGAAGCTGGCAAGTCCCAAGTTCTTGGATCCAACGTCAAGCTGGAAGCTTTTCCCAACTCAAGCAGCTGCAGGGGCTGATGAGCTCAAGGTTGGCAGGCAGTATACTGGCTGTTGACTTCAATGAATGACAAATCCAAATCTCCAGGCCAAATGGTGGATTGTTCGCTCACAGTCAGTTGTAGGCAGCACAACAGAATCCCAATCCACAGAAGAGTGGCTCTTTTTCCCAAGATGTCTATAAATATATTGGAAGCAGGCCACACCCCTAGAGAAACTCCCTTCCAACCGATTGGCTGCTCAAAGCTTATACATCTGATCTCATCATGGGAATAACCCACATCACAACTGTTTAAACCACTCAGAATTGTGGTCCAGCCAAATTGACACAGGACTCCAACTATTACAGTCATTTTGTTCTTGTATTGTCTTTCAAAATTGTTCTAGGGATTTCTCTGTGTTTTCCTCAATTTTGTCAGTGTTCTCCTTGATCTCTTTCTCAATCCATTGAAGGTACCTAAATAATTCTTTTGAATTCTTTATCAGGGAGTTCCGATGCTGCTGCTTCCTCAGGGATGTGTTTTGGGTCTGTATCCTGGTCCCTTATTTCTCCTGCTTTATCTTGCTTCTTTGTGTGTACTGTAATGCTCTGTTGTCTCCAAGACATTGTGACATTCTTGTGTTTATATTTAATTGGTGATTGTATGTTGGAGTGATCTGCCCAAGATTTTCATCTTCTTTGGATGTTATCTATGTAAGCAGGATACTGTGCTCCTCTATTCACTAGTTGGCAGTACTTATATATTCTCCTTTCCCCTTGTCGGCCTCCCGTATGTCCCTACCATCCTTGGCCAATGGAGCCTGTTCTTAGGTTCCTGGAAGCCGAATGAGAATGCTGTCACTTTTAATATCCAAAATGGCCACTGCTTGTAAACATTCAAAATGGCTGCACCCTGGGTTACTTTAAATATCCAAAATGGCCATCACTTGTAAGCAATCAAAATGGCTACACTCTCCAGACAGCTGAAAGTCCACAGCTCAGGTTGTCTTCCTCCTTGCTGTAAGCAATCAAAATGGCTACACTCTCCAGACAGCTGAAAGTCCACAGCTCAGGTTGTCTTCCTCCTTGCTGTTTCCCTTCCTAGTCAAAGCCCACCAGTGCAGTTGTCCCTGCAGCCCTTGGCGACCAGAGCTGATCTTTAGGTCAATTTTCAAGTCCCAGCATGAATTGGATATATTCAGGCTATTGGTCCCCTCAGAGTAGCTGATAGTCTGCAGCTCCATCTGTCTCCATACTCATTGTTTTGATTCAGGTTTTTCCACTAGTTGGTGCCTAATCCACTTCTTTTTTTTTCTTCAGAGTTTTTTTTTTTTTTAATTGTGATTTGGGTGAAAGTTTACAGAGCAAATTCACTTTCCATGCAGCAGTTCACATACACTTTGTCTCATGGCATTGACTACAATTTACCACAATGCAACAGCTTCCCTCCTACTCCTCCCCATAGTTACCTCTTCCCTGTGTCCATCCCTCCATGCACTCCTGCCCCCTGAGCTGTCTCCCTTTACATAAACAGCCCTTCTTTTCTCCCATGATTGTTCTCTCCAAGGAGTGTATCTACCTGAGGTAAATGTTCAACTCATATGCCTGTCTTTTGTTTGGCTGGAAGCCACAGGTGTGGGTTTAATTCCAGACCTGAAGGGCAGCTAGGGGCCACAGTCTCAGTGGTTTCACCAGGCTCTATCAGACCAACAAACCTGGTTCTCCATCCCCCCCCCCTTTTTTTTTTATCCCCCAAATGATTTTGAGTTTTGTTCCACATTGTTCTCCCTGTCTATTCAGTATCTCCTGTATAGATCCGCTCCAAATAGTTGACAATGGTAGCCAGGCACCATCTAGTTCTTCTGGTCTCATAGTCATATAGGGTGTAGATCACATGGTCTACCAGTCACTTGGACTAATTGTTTCCATGAGTCTTTGATTTTCTTCATTCTCCTTTTTCTGGATGAAGAGAGACCCATCGTTGCATCTAGATGGCTGCTTGCAAGCTTTTAAGATCCCAATCGGTGCGTAATCCACTTCTGTATACTTTCTTTCAAAGCTCAGGGCCCCAGGATTATCTTCTGTATCTCTGTCAATTGGTTTCTCTTTTTTTGTTGTTGAAGAGGGTCTGTGTAGCTTATCTGCCTATTCTGCCATCTTACCAGAAGTCTCAGAAACAGCAGTTTTTCTTTTACACTAGTCCTTCATGTTTCTTAAAGATTGAACTGCTCTCCACTGATTTAATTCAATAAATATTGGCATCTGTATCCCAGGCATGATGCTGGGCACAAGGATAAAATGGTGAGCAAAGCACATTTCCTATAGGGAGAAACAGGTACATAAGAAAGTCAATTGGAATGTGTAATATAAGTGTTACATAGGCACAAGATGATGTGAGAGCATCAACAGATTCTGGGAAAACTGTGAAGGAGTCATACTCTAAAGTCTTGAAGAGCAAAGTGAAGGTATTCTAGGCAAACAGAAGACCACATGCAAAAGCCAGATGTGAACAAAATCACACTATGCATGAAAAATTAAGAGTAATTCAGAATGTCTTGAATGTAGAGTGGGTGTAGGAGAATGATGAGAGAAGCTACAGTGATAAAGAGGGTGCAGATCAGGAAGATTCTTTTATTCAAACCTATGGAATGTGGGCCTTATCTTGGGGGGAATGGAGAGCCACTTAATGACCTTAAGCACAATATGTATTAGCTAAAATGCAGAAGCTGAAAATTAGAAATTTTTCTCTCAAACAAAAGTCCAAGTAGGCAGTTCAAGTCCAGTGTGGCTGCTATGCAGATTGATAATGTTGGGAATCTCAGGCTTCTTCCATATTGTTACTCCATCATCCTCTAGGGCGCTGAACCCATTTACATAGTTAAAAATCATCACCGCACTTCTTAGGTGCATATCGTAGCTATTGAGAAAGAGGTAGAGATAAGGGGAAGACAAGTTCATTCCTTTTAAAAGGCCTACCTAGAGGTTGTACACATAAATTTCATTCATAGTACACTGACTGGAACTTAGTCACATGGCCACATCAAACTGCAGAAAGTCTGGAATATATAATTTTTATTCTACGTGGCCATATGCCTCATTAAAATTCAGACATAACATGATCATATTTTTTATTTTTAAAAATGTCTTTCTGGCTTTGGTATAAAGAAATTATGGGGGAAAGGCAAAAAAAGATACCAATTAAGAGGCAATTATTGGATTCTGTATAAGAAATTATGGTGATAGGAATTAAGGTAGATACAGTGGGGATGAAGAATTATAAATGGATTTTATACATATTTGTAAGAATCAACATGGTTGGGGTTGGATGTAAAAGGGATGGGAAGGAAGGCAGAAAAGATGATGCTTAAATTTTACACTTTGGAAATTTATACCATTCAGTAGAAAGGGAAACACAGGAGGAAAAAAAGGTTTGATATGCATAGAAGAATGGAAGATAAATGATGAATCTAGTTTTATATGTTACTATGTCTGTGGGATGTCCTAGTAGAGATGTCCAGTAGACTGTTGAACATGTGGATATGGGCTCAGGGGGAAGATGGGCTAGAGATACAGATGGCAGGTGGCTATAGAATAAAAAGATAACCCAGGGAAGGATAATGTAAAGTGAGATTATAAAAGTCAAAGGTCTAAACTCTGAGAAATATCAACACTTAAAGGATACAAAGGAAAGAGAAACTAATAAGGAAGACAGAGCAGACTAACAGCAGAGGAAGAAGAAAAATCAAGACAGTGTTGTCACAGAATCCCAAAAAAGTGTTTCAAGATGGAGGTAACGGGCATTGTGTTGAGTTTTGCAGCCTTGGAAATCAAGGGCCAGAAAGTACCTATTAGATTTAGCAACAAAAAATTTTGTGATCTTGGTGAAAGCAATTGATGGAGAAATGCAGGCAGAGGAAGATTGCAATGAGTGGGAGAGTGAATGGAAAATAAGGAAATGATACAGACAATCCTTGCCAGAAGCTTGGGTATTAAAAGGAGAGAAACAAGCCTGTAGCTACAGAGAGAGAGGGTTGATGGAAGGTTTTTAAATCTCAAAATGAGCTTTATGTTTCTCTGATTATAAAAACAATATGTGCTTATTATTAATAATTCAGGTGATAAAGGTTATATGAAGAAAAACAAAAACACAAAAATCACACAGAAATAACCATTGCTATCATTTTCATGTACTATTTCTATATTTCTTTCAAAATATACCTTTATATACATAAATGCTTATATTTTTATTAAAAGATATTATACTATATCTAAGCTTCTTTTTCCAATTAGCAATTTATGTGGATACTTTTCCATGACAATGAATAATTACAATTATAGTAACTTTTTAGTGGTTCCACAGTATTCCACAGTAACAGCATATAAAAATGTGTTTAATCAATTCACAATTGGTGAACATTTAAGTTGTTTTCAGTTTGTTTTTAGTATTAACTGTGCTGCCATAAAATTCTTACATAGAAATATTTACTTATTTGTCTGATTGTTTTTTTAGGATATGATCCAGGAAGTAGAATTGCTGGGGTGATAAGAGAGGGGATGATTGGTAAATCACGGTCCCAATAAAAGGAAGAGCACAGATGGGTTTATCCTTAAATACCAGGAGGGGCATCTTTTCCACGTTTTTCCTTGGGACAAAAAGGATAGAGGAAATAACTGGTGGTGCACAGTTAAGCTTGTAATTGGAGTAACAGAAGTTCACTTGCTGGAAGTTCTCTTGCTGGAAGAGACAAATGTATAGAGGATCTGAGGAGAGTGAAGAAGGTGTGAAATGGCAGCTACGGGCTTTGAAAGAAAGAGCTGAACTGGAAAACAAAAAAGGATTGAAGGATGTATTTGTAATGGAACCAATTTCCACATTTGTATACTTTTCTCAGCAGGACTCAGTTGGATTTGGAGTTTTGTAATAGACAAATGAGTTAGGGATTTAAGATATTGGCAAAAGGGTAGATAAAATGATTTAACCATAGGATCAGGTTACGTAGGGATAGATGGGAAGACAGGAGGAAATTTTTGGATAGAGAAGAAATACAAGAGTGATGAGACTAGAGGACTCAGTGATGTCTAAACATGAAAAAAAAATGAGAAAACAAAAAAGAAGATCGTGGTCAGAAAGTAGCATGTTTGAATTTGAGGTTTCAGAGGTAGAGTAGTTCTGAGTCATCAAACAGGATGTACCCTTAGAAGTGGTTAAAAACAACAGGCAACTGCATCATATGACAATGACTATAATTACTAATTATTGAGAACTGAAGTGTGTAGTATACCTATTTGTAGATGTATTTAAAAATATAGCATTTTCTTAAAGATATGTAATGTATATTGTAGAAAACCTGGAATCAGATCACTTCAGCAAGCTTGAACCAACTAAATTTGCAATCATGCGAAATTTGAACAACCAAGTTCTCTTCATTGACCAGAAAAATAGACCTGTGTTTGAGGATATGCCTGATTCTGACTGTATAGGTATTTTGTTTTTAATATTTGCAAACATAAAAATGACTAACTACTTTTTCCCATTCTATTTTACTGCCTACATCTCTCTGTACTAGACCCAATCCTTAGGTGAAAAGTCTGAGGATAGGAATCCACTTACAAAAAACTATAAGGCATTCTATAAAGTATATTGGTGTGAAAAATTGGATACAATAAATGCATTGGTAGGGATCATGACACTCTGAGGTTACATTTGGATCATCAAGCCTTTTGTTGTAATTGTATTAACTGTAAGAGATCCTTATAGAGTTGAATCCTAATTCCTGCTGGTTTTAGCTGAATATGCTAAGAATGTTTTCAAAACTGAAAATTAAAAATCAACGTAGCATTTCAAATGTATCTGTCTTCCACCCAAACTTTAAAGTGCCTTAGAAAATGAATATATTTCTTTGCTTTCCAAAGTATAAATCAAAAAAACCAAACCCACTGCCATTGAGTTGATTCCAACTCTTAGAGACCCCGTTGGGTTTCCAAGGTGGTAAATCTTTATGGCACATTGCTCTGTCTTTCTTCTGCAGAGCAGCTAGTGGGTTTGAACCACCAACCTTCTGGTTAGTAGTCAAATACTGTTCTGGTTACCTAGTGCTGCTCTGACAGAAGATATACCACAAATGGGATGGATTGAACAAACAAGAGTTCATTCTCTTAGAGTTCAGGAAGCTAGAAGTCCAAGTTCAAAGTGCCAGGCTCTAGGGGCTGTGTGAAAGCCCCTCAACGTTGGGCTTCAGCTCTGCCTCTTGCCCCTGGCCCACTGAAACTAGAGGCATCTCTTCACTCAGGCAGCTACTGGCTGCTGAGGCTAACAAGCCCAAGATCGACAAATAAAATGGTACAGTCCCAAAGCCATATGGCAGGCCATTGATTCAAGTCCAAAGGCCCAGGAGCAGCAGAACATGGCAGGCTGCTGAACAACGACTTGGCTACATGCAGGGTTCAAACATGCCATAATCTGGAGACCATTCCCAAAGCTGTTTCTTACATATGGGAAACAGACCACATCCCTAAAGCAGCTACTCAGCTGCTTGTGGTAGGTCCCATTATGGAGTTGATTGCCAGTCTCATCTTGGGGAATAAACTACCACCAGCTGCCCAGCCACTCAACCAGGCCCAGCCAAGTTGACACACAAACTTAACCACCACAAATGCCTTAGGCACTGCGCCACCAAATATATGAATTCCAAATACCAGCATTTTAGGCAGAGGTGAAACAATGAATGTACATTCTTGGAAAATACTGAATTTTTACCTTACTAAATAAAATTGTAATGTTCTTATTAACATTTTAAAGTTAAAAACAAATCACGAAAGGATAAATACTCTATGACCTCACTTCTATGAAATATGTAAATATATAGAGACCAAAGCTTATCAGTGGTTATTGGGTAGCAGGGAGGAGGAGTGGGGGAGTCATTGTTTATAGGGCCCTGAGTTTCTGTTAATGGTGATGGAATAATTTTAAAAAGGATAGTAGTAATGCTTTCCCAACATGATGAATATAATTAGTGTCATGGAATTATACACGTAAAAGTTGTTGAATTGGCAAATGTTTTGTTAGGTATTTTTACCACACACAAAAAAGTGAAACACAATCTTTTAGTGTTCAGAATATCTTTAAGATACTCAAAAAGTTGTTGCATGTATGCTGTAATACACATTTAAATGTGTTTTCAAGATTGTCTAACCAGTTATATACATATAGTCTCCTTCTCCTGACTGGTGGAATCTAAGTGCAGGATTGGTAATGGGTCTATTGGGACTATCTTTTGGTTAATTTCCATAAATATTAATTTGCGAAAAATTCTTCTACCTGGTGTTCTCACTTATTAATGTTTATTTCAGATAATGCACCCCAGACTATATTTATAATAAAAATGTATAAAGATAGCCAACCTAGAGCTCTGGCAGTAACTATCTCTGTGAAGTGCATGAAAAGAATTTTCACTCTCTCCTGTAACAACAAAACTATTAACTTTAAGGTAAGACCAAGTCTCAATTCATTTTTAGTATTATTTATGAATTAAAACAATAGCAAGGAGCAAAAAACTATTAAAATAATAACTACTAAAAATGGGAGCTCTGGTAGCATAGTGGCTAAGACACTTGCCTGCTAACCAGACGGCTGGCGGTTCAAACCCACCAGCCACTCCTCGGAAGGAAGGTTGGGCAATCCTACTTCCGTAGTGATACTGCCTCGGAAACCCAAGGAGGGGTCGCTATGAGTCGGGTTTGACTCGACGGCACATAACAACAACAACAACAAAAATGGTCAGACTTCTTAATCTATTGTAGTAATAGCATGGTTTTTCTGAGCCTGTCACAGGGAGAAAGGGACATAACACTAGTGTCATAACTTGGGCCTTCTGAATAATCAATCTAAAGATAAGTAGAAATATGAAATACATATGTGAATTATCATATTTATTTAAGAATAATATGTGACTTTCCAGAATAATTCCTGCTGCATAGAAGAAAGCTAACTGTTCTTTCTATCAACCTTAATTGTTTGTTCTGCTTCTTAGCCTAAGTCTTGGCCACATCCTCAGCTTTCAGTTATTTTATGTTACTTTTAATGTTAATCTAAGTGACTAAAATTAGCAAGATCAACTGTAAAAGTAATGATATAATGCACTTCAAAACCAGGTATCAATTATTTCTGGCAAGTAGATAAACTGTCATTAACTGTAGACCGACCCAGAGAACTTTCCTCTCAATGAGAGCAGCCAGGGGCTGCTCACAAATTGCCAATGGTAGGTGCTTCAAAGGAGAAATCCATGTTATGAAGACTTTTTCTGAGTGGAGATGTGCCAGTGTAGAACTGCTGTCACAATCACCCAGGACTCACTGATGGAAAGTTAGTGATGATCATTGTGGCAATGACAAGGGGAAAATTGGGAGAGATTTTTAAAAAGAAAAAAGCCACTCTAAAATATAATCAAAGTAAGAATAATGTGTATACAGCAGATACAGACTCCGTACAAATCCTTTAGCCATCCCTTTCAAAACGTATGTCTTCACTCTTATGATCTGACAGTCAGGAAGCTTAATTCTAATGGCATTAGAGGACTGGGATGGAGAAGGTTAAGCATGTTGCTATTAAGCAACAGAACCAGAAGGGAAGGAAGAGATAGCCATGCTCAAGCCATGTGGGGTAGAGAAGAACTAACTCAGCTGCAAAGGCAGATTTGGAAACTAGGATAAACCTGACCTACAAGTGGATTCTTGTTGTAAGAGACTAGGGAGAGTATTAAGAAAATGGAAATGTTTGGCACATAGTAGGAACTGGAGAAAATCAGGTTTTTGGGTGCCTGAGACATACACAATTTTGGTAGCCTTTTTAAAGAAAACGAATATAAAATCACCAAAAGCATAAACTCGACAATGTATTTAGAATAGGAAAAGAAGGATCCTTGGAAGAGACCTGTGCAGCTGAAGGACTCTGATACTTAAGCTGTTATCTTCAGTAAATATTAGTTGGAGGAAGGGAAGAGAGAAGGAAGGGAAGGACGAAAAAGGAGAGAAGAAGGACTAGTCTAGGATAGTTTTAGCTCTTTGTCTTTATTCCCTTGTTTCTCATTAATAAGATTCTTAGCAGTGGTTGTAGATGTAGACTAGGTTCTAGATAATAAGACACAAGTGGCTACCATTATGTTTACCTTTCTGCGCTGGTTAGTAACTATAAAGTCCTAATGCTCAGAGCTACTCCTGTTTTACTTTGGGTAAAAACCTTTACAACACTGAAAGGAATTTGCTCCAAGAGGTTACTGTCAGTGTCTATTTTCCTGGATGTGTATACATCCAGACTTGATTAACATTCTCTCAGACTTGCTGATGCACTTGAGAGAGGACCAAAAGAACAGGTGCTAGGATGAGCTTAACTTTCCTCAGGCTCAAATTCACCCCCTCTTATCTAAAGAATCCCATAGACTCTTGGAGCACTGAAGTTTCACCAGATAGGGCTTGTCATGTTGAAGTTTCCACAAAGTGCCTAGGATTGTTTCCATATCCATTTGTTGTGCATTTTCCCTGTGTTGACTTTGAGTGGTCAGTACCAAAACCAAAAAAAGCTATTGCTCCAGGATTTCTTTGCCTCTGTTCTGAAATGTAGTATCTAACTGTGGTTACAGAGATCATTTATCCTACCTACACCAATTCTCACCTTCAACTATAGCTTTCCATGCTAGGCCTAAACCAATAGGTTCATTTGCCTCTGTAGTATTTCTAGAGCTTTTAGAGCTTTGGCTAAGGATTATTTTTCACTTCCACATTAGACTTCTGATTAGTCACAAATTGGCTTCTTCAGCTTCGGGTCTCTTCCTTATATCTGGGATTCTGTAGATAGCTGCAGAAGTAGACTCCAGTGGAGGAACTAGATTATACTGTCATCAATCCAGGACCCACACTTGTTGGTAAAGGTCAAAGATCAAGAGTTATGACTATAAATTTTATAATTGATTGAGAAATTTTGAAGCATCCACCAGATTATTTCAGGCATCTTGGAAGGAGTCTGGAATACTATTTTGGGTGTGGAGGTATCTCTGTCAGTCTATAGGACCTTGGGAATCTTTGATATCATAGGGTCAAAATGAAGTTCGAAATGTCTACTGGTTCCAGGATTGACATGGAAGAACTTTGAGTGGTCTCTCGATTTTCTAGTCCATCCTGAAAAGTAGACATGATGGAATAATAGGAAAAGTGTAGGCAGTAATGACAATTAGGTGAGCAACAGACTTACAGTTTCAAGTAATCTATACTGTGGCTGAAAGATACAGGGATGAGCATTTGACCTTCCAAGGGAGAGCCTGGGCAGGTAGGCTACATTCAGGACAGTAATTCAAGAGAAGTTCTGTGAACGCGGTAGTTAAGTGATCAGCTGCTAATCAAAAGGTCAGCCAGTTGCTCCTTGAGATAAAAGTCCTGGCAATCTGCTCCCATAAAATTTACAGCCTAGGATCAGATAGGATTACATGTGTCAGAATCGACTCTACAGCACATAACAACATGGAACTGAAATGCTTGGCAGAGAGACAGAGTCAAGGGCTGATGCCTGAGCCATTACAGCTATACAGGAATCCAGGTCCTAGGCCTAGAACAAGTATCAGGTCTATTTACAGTAAGTTTCAAATCCAGTCACCATTGAACAAAGGAGCTGAGATTCCTGGTACTTCCAGCCTCTCTCAACAGTTGTCTCAGAAACTAGAGCTAATTTAGGCCTATTGGTGGAGGACATCAATGTCTTTAACTATGAGTGGTTTTTAAAAGACAAAAATTGACATTAGCCCAAAGAGGTTGTGAGCCTTGCTGAAACTCTGCTTCATCTTGGGCAGATGTGGACTACATTTGATGAGAGAGGGAGAAAGAAGCTATCTGTTGGGTAAATTTGATTAAAACTAAAGGACTGGAGCTGAATGTGCATCTCATGGTGCGAAGAGCCAGAGTGAGTAGGGATAATAGTAGATTAGGAATTAAGAAGGAGAGATAAGTATTCCTTTATTCAGATTTTTTTCCCCCTAACTCTGGAGAAGAAAACCTTCCTTAATTCTGAGCAATATGGTACTTCAAAATAAATTATATATATTCAAATATTTCATGTCTTCAAAAAATTAAGTAATATTCTTGCTTCTCTTTAGGAAATCAGTCCTCCTGAAGTTATCAATGATACAAAAAGTGACATCATATTCTTTATGAAAAGTGTTCAAGGACAGGATGAGAAGAAAATGTTTGAATCTTCATTGTACCAAGGATACTTTCTTGCTTCTGAAAAAGATGCAGATTTTTACAAACTTATTTTGAAAGAGAAACAAATTGCGGATACATCTATAATGTTCACCATGAACCTCCAAGAACTAGGTATTAAAGATTTATAGTTTACTAGTGAAGAATGCCTGCCTTAAGCGTGGTAGTCTTTTAAGATCTATTGAAGCAGTAATACATTTGGAAAAGGGGAGTGAAAATGGTTGCACAACTCAAATAATGTAATCCATGTCACTGAATTGTACATGTAGAAATTACTGAGTTTGTGTATGTTCTACTATGTATTATCATTAATACCAAAGAGTGCATTATATTAAAAAAAAAAAAAAACTTTTATAGTTTGAACTTTCTTAGTGTTTGTGTTTCAGAAAGTTTTTAAGAGTTTCTGGGCCTATAATTGTTGTGATGAATAATGGTTTTAATTGAAGAACAGCTTTAATAAAACTGAATTGACTCCCCTTTATCCAAGTGAATAAAATATTTGTATAACATTTTTTTTTAATTGCATAGTTTGAAACACAGTCTACACTGTTAATTGGCACTTAGATTATACTCAGTAGAATTGTTTTTTCAATCTTTTGGGCTATTATCCTAATGATGAAAGAAGCTGATGTTTGAATTTTCTAAATTTTAAGAATAGCATTAAAACTATGAAGATTTTATAAAGAGACCTTTCACTTCACTAATTTATGCATTTCTTCCAAAGTCTAGATATCTTTAAAAGTCAGTTTGATCCTGAATCCAACAACATATAAAAAGGATTATTTCCAAGTTGGAAATAGAAATACCATTTGATCCAGCCATTTCATTACTAGGTATATATTCTAAAGAAGTGAGAGCCATGACAAGAACAGACATATGTATACCTATGTTCATCACAGCACTATTTACAATAGCAAAAAGTTGGAAACAATCTAGGTGTCCATCAACTGAGGAATGGAGGACATTATGCTGAGTGAAATAAGTCAATCACAGAAGGACAAATATTGTATTAGTCCATTATTGTAAAAGTCAAGGAACGGTTTATATATGGGTTTATATATGAAAGGAAATTTTCTTTGTTGGTTACCAGGGGTGGGAGGGTAGGGTAGGAACACTGTTAGATAGGTAGAGATAAGTATTGATTTGGGTGAAGAGAAGGGCAATGTACCAAATGTGAGTGATCAACATGGTGGCATTGAGGAAGACATAGAGAGGCACAAGGGAGGTACAGACAACAAAGATGAACCCTTTTGCACATACAGTACTGCGTTGTCAGTGAAGGCAAACATGGGTATATGGGTGGATAGACTGGTGGACAGGCTGAACTATTAGGTATGTCTATGCAGCAGGGAGTGTACCCAAGACCATGTATAGGGTTGGCAGACAATGGTTCTACAAGTGTATGTGTATGTTCCGTAAGAACTTCCAGGAGTATAGTAGACCTGACAAGCAACAAGGCTGTAGTCACTTCTTGGTCACAAAAAAAAAAAAAGGATTATACACTAATGCCATTTATCCCAGGAATGCAAATTGGTTTAATATCCCAAGATCAATTAAGGTATGATACCATATTAATAGAATATTGGGTAAAAACAACATGATCATCTCAATAAATTCAGAAAAGTCATTTGATAAAATCCAATTTATGATAAAAATTCTTAACAAACTTGGGATGAAAGGGAACTTTCTCAATCTGACAAAGGGCATCTATGAAAAACCTACAGCTAACATCATGCTTAATGGTGAAAGACTGCCTTTTCCTAAGATCAGGATCAAGGCATGGATGTCAGCTCTCGCAATTTCTGTTCAACATCATATTGGACCATCATATGTAGCCAGTGCAGTCAGTTTGAGCCAATCTTAATAAGATTTTAATGGATAGGAGAATTTTTTTTAATTCCAAAATAGGATTATGTTAAGCAGATTTTTGTGTCCTTTTCCTCTTAATTACATAGTTGATCAGTTTTGTTTGTTTCTGACTTTTCATTGGGCTATTTCACACTGTCATTAAATGACAGCTTTTTCTTGAGGTCTTTGAGGGGGACTCAGGAGCTCTGGTAGCATAGTGGCTAAGGCACTTGACTGCTAACCAGAAGGCTGGCAGTTCAAACCCACCAGCCACTCCTCGGAAGGAAGATGGGGCCATCTACCTCTGTAGTGGTGATACTGCCTCGGAAACCCAAG